TTAGAATGGAGCAGGATGTGTTGCCTTTGAGATCTTTTAGCTTGCTTCATTTAGGCTTAGTCCACACGTAGCCGGGTTTTTTTTTTAAAACGAATATCCGCCCCTCCAAAAACTTGCATCCACACCACCTCGTTTAAAGAAAAAATCTCTGTCCACACGTACCCGGATAAATACGTTGTTAAGGACATGCCAGACCTGTAGGCGGCAGTACTTCCCCCGTTCTTAACCTCGTCCTTCGTCTGTGGTCTTCCGCAAAGCGAGCGCAGCTCTGAGGGCATCCATGCTGTCGGCTAGTGTAAACACAGGTCGCACACGTGATGTCAGCATTTTTTTGTCGCGGAAAGTGACGTTGCGGACCTTAAAACTCCGGTTTTGTCTGTCCACACGCAGACACCCAAAACGGAGAAAACGCAGATCTTCACTTTGGCCGGAGTTTTTAAAAAGATCCGTTTTCGTGTGAAAAAAACTCAGTTTTCATGTGGATGACAGGCCAAAACGTAGGAAAATATCTACGTTTTGGCAGATCCCCGGCTACGTGTGGACAGGGCCTGAGTCAGACTGGATTTTATTTTTACAGGTCTGGGTAATGGAACTGAATTCAAATTTTCCAACAATGGCATTAATCACAGCTCAGTCATGCTTTAACCATAAGGGCAGGTTGATTTGGACATTTTGCCCCATAGTAAATTAAATGACCACTCGGAAACTGATTATAGCATTTCAGGAGTCTTTCTGGTATTTAGGACCTTTGATTTGAAACAGAACCGCCCTCTAACAAATCATAGAAGACGAACACCAACTGAAACATTTTCTTTTCCCTTATTGTTGATGAATCAGATGACGTAGTCCAAAAATAAGAAACCTCAATGCTGGTGGCTTTATTCCTCACACATGAAACCAACACATGCTTGAAATAAAAAAGGCAGAACCGACGTCACAAACAGCCACGATGGCAGCTGTCAGCTGACCTGCCCAGCCGGGAGCCGCATCCATTCATAACTGCAGAAAAACAGCCAAGATTGACTGCCATTATCTTCAGCTGTCATTACACAGTTGGATGAAAAGTGCAGCCACACTGCATAGAAAGCCAATATGTTTGACTGTTCAATAACTACAATTCATGAAGCAGCAAGGAAATGGCTTCAGACTGTAGTAATGAAAGCAGTTTGGTTCCTCAGAGGAAGGATTTTTCCCAACTGGCCCAGCTGGATAAATACGAGCAGCAGCGTTAGCGCACCACGCTGGAAAGTAAACACACCAAGTGCTTTTTTGTTGCTTTGAATTTTTTTATTTGCTTGCTTAAGTTTTATCTACCAGGTCATTGTTGTTGATATGAAACACCTTCTCCTCCTTTCGCTAACCGATCATCCACATGTGCACCCATGGACGTAATTTTCACTTTAGAAGTGGGGTGGGTGGGGGGGGGTATCTTTACAGTATGCTCTAATGGGAAACAGGCTTCAACACAAACGGTTGTTTTCCGCTTGGTCCTAGAGCTCAACCAGTGTCAATTTAATATAGCGTAATATTGTTTTTGGATGGTAAAAAGTGCAGGGGTCAAAACTTGACTTTGGAAAAAGTGGGGGGGACATGTCCCCCCTGTCCCCCCCCCGAAATTACGTCCATGTGTGCATCTCCTCATTTATCTTTGCCCCTCATCCGTGGTCTCTGGCCCCGTCCCAGTGTCCTGATTCACTGCTCTGTTGGAGGATCAATAGAAAGGCTCTCTGTCAGGAGGAGCCACTGCCCCCCCACCCCCCACCCCTCCCCACTCTGCAGACAGATCTTTCTGGCATCCCATCTTGGAGAAAGCTCCTCACCCTTCATCTCGGCACCTCCAACTTGAGAGGACTTCTCTTTATCTGGGAGCCGACAAGGAGACCGCCCTGAGAAAATGGTCTCAAAGCCATGTGTGAAAAATTAAAGTAAGCAAAGAAAAGAAGCCAAACGGGGTGAGGAAGATAAGTTGTGCATTCAGCTAAGCAGCAAAATGCTCCCCCTCATTCTCCACCCCCTGGAAAAAGTCTCTCTCTCTCTCTCTCCCTCTCTCTCTCTCTCTCTCTCTCTCTCTCTCTGTCTCTGCAGCTGTGCTCCGAACTGAGCATCACCTCCACACAGCAAGTGCCTTTTACTTAAGCAGAAGAGGAAGAAGGAAGAGGAAGGTAGCCGCAAGAACGAGGGCAAAAAAAATCTCTGGAGAGAGCGTGTGCACACAGCAGAGGAGCACCTCTGTACTCAGACGGTAGGCAGAGAAGCGCACCGAGGCAGACGGGAAGAGGCAGCTGCGTCGTAGCATCACGGTCGCTGGCGGAGCTGGCACAGGGAGCCAACCGGAGAGGAAGGGGAGGGGACCCACTTGCACTGTTGATCCTGGCGTTTCTGGCAAAAGCTTAAAGCAGCGGACAGAAAAAGGCGAAGCAGACAGGATCCTGCAAACGGGGCAGCATTTTACCTTGAGGTGTGGAGACGGCTGAAACACACACACACATTAAACATCTGGGTGAAGGACGCACAGACAACTCTTCCTTTTCTCCTGACAGACGCCAGAAGAAAATGGAAACCGTTTCATCTTTTTGCCGACGGATAGTGGACAACTTCTGAGGCGGGATTTCTCTTTCAGTCGTCTCCTCCCAACTTCACCACTTCTCTTTTTGGGACTTCAAACCCTCTGAGCACAAAGTGCATTAACCTCGATTCTGAGCTGCAGAACCCGAGAGCTGTCTAGATGTCCGTTATGATGCCTCCTCCTGATTCAGTCTGACTTTTAAGTGGATTGTGACGGAAGTATTCTGGGATTGCGCTTCTGCGTGAATTAAGGGGGGAAAAAGGAAAGAAACCTGCAAATGACTGATGGATTTACGTCTGACAGAGGAGATCCTCTCGAGCATTTCCTCCTCTCTTTTTCTGGATTACATATGGGTTTTGTGGTCCTTCAGTTCAGGCTCATGGATGATCGTTTGCTTCCTGCTGTTAGAATAAAGTCTAAGAAACGGCATCCGGCTGTATTTTTACCTTTGAGGCGTAAACTGAAATAAAAACAAGTATGCCTCCAATGAAAGCACAAAGCTGCTGCTTTTATCTATTCAGACACAAATTGTAACTCACTGATTGAACGGTTATGTTCATCGGATCACGGTTAAGGTGCAAAAGGAAGGCAGGCGCTGATGTTTATTAATTATTTTGACAAGTAATCTGCATGTTTTCAGATCATTTACCAATGAGTGTAGTTTACTAAATGAGGGGTGCCGTCTACCCGCCAGGTGGCTTGAGCACAAAACGAGATTGATTGAAGTGATCTGTGTGAATCCAATTAATGCCTCCTGGATTCTTGCCAAGATGGAGCCAATGGAGGGGAATGCCGCTGTCTAGCATCTGATCTGCCTCCTCACTGGATAAACCTCTGCACCCCCGGTTCAACAGCGGTTCTCCTCCCCCCTTACAGGCAAGGATGGTACCCCCACCCCCCACGAACAAGCCCCATGTGTGCCTCTCCACCATCCTGATCATGAGCAGCATGGCACTGATTGATGCCTACCTGGTGGAGCAGAACCACGGCCCCCGTAAGATCGGCATCTGCATCATGGTGATGGTGGGGGACATCTGCTTCCTGATCGTGCTGCGGTACGTGGCCGTCTGGGTGGGCGCCGAGGTGAGGACAGCTAAACGGGGTTACGCCATGATCCTTTGGTTCCTCTACATCTTTGTGCTGGAGATCAAAGTTTACTTTGTGTACCAGAACTACAAGGCGGACAGGAAAAGTTTGGACGCTCTTGCGAGGAAAGCATTGACGCTGCTTTTATCCATTTGCATCCCGGTGCTGTTCATCGTGCTTGTGGCCATCGACCACATGGAGTACATCCGCGCCTTCAAAAAGCGTGAGGAGATTCGCAATCGCCTCTTTTGGGTGGTGGTGGACCTGCTGGATGTACTGGACATCCAAGCCAACCTGTGGGAGCCTCAGAAGAAAGGGCTCCCTCTGTGGGCAGAAGGCCTGATGTTTTTCTACTGCTACATCCTGCTGCTGGTGCTGCCCTGTGTGTCTCTGAGTGAAATCAGCATGCAGGGCATTAACATCGTTCCCCACAAGATGCTGTTGTATCCCATCCTCAGCCTGGTGACCATCAACGTCATCACCCTCTTCATCCGCGGGGGCAACATGCTTCTGTACAGGGACGCCCGGGTGTCCGGGATTCTGATAGGAAAGAACATACTCGCCATCGTCCTGAAGACCTGCAGCTTCGTGCAGTACAGAAGACAGTTGCAGAACGCTCCTCCCGCTTTTGGAGCGGAGCTGCAGAAAAACTCGGTCGCTCACACTCGCCCTGCCCCCACCCCTCCTCAAGTGGTGATGCAGGATCAGACGCCTCTCCCTGAAGTAACGACGTGCGAGCACACATGACAGAGAGACAGGGTGAACTCTACAAATGTCAATTTGAGTACATATGACCCTCAGGACTCTGGCGGGGGGCAGTGACCCACGCCTTTTAGGGTGTAGGAACACACCGGAGATCATGATCCCTGATGCACACAGGACACTGCAGACAGCCAGCACAGAGCGGTGCGGTGTCCAAATCCATCACGGTGCAAAATGCAGCACAAATAGATCCCCTCGTGAAAGCATTTCTCAATGAATTTAATTCTCTGTATATTTTTTGTACGTGTGTAAATGAAAAAAGGCAAATATTGCAAGATTAGAAGATCTATTTTTGAATAGTTTGTGTTGCATTCTAATCTCAAACCTAAAAGGGTTTGTGTGCTGTGGTGTGCGTTTCTGTTGCTCAACTGTTCTTAGTAGTCGACGGCTTTAACTTGTCAAGGTGGAGGCGAGAAGCCGATGAGAGAATCAAAGCAAAGAGGGTGAAAATACCAGTTAAAGCTGTCTCTTTGAAAGAGGTCTGTTTCATTTGTGATTCTTTGTTCAAAAACTGCGTACAAGATAAAGGCTTTCCCGCTTTTCTCACTGGCTGTAAGAGGATTTGTCATAAAATTATACAAAACTTGTTGGTTTTTCATTCTTTATTTCAAACCAACCAGCAAATGTCAATTTGTCCAATGTGAGAGGGTCAATGCTTTTCTTTTCTTTTCTTTTCTTTTCTTCAGTCAACATTTGAAATCTCATTTGCCCCTCTAGAGCCGTTGTAGCCTTCCACGTTGCACACTTTTGACAGCAGAAGGATGCTTTGAACAAATGAAGTGCGGGTCATTAGCATTTTGATCGATGCAAAGGTTGCTGTTTCTATAAAATTCAGCGCATGACCGAGGAGCACCGCTTGCAGAAAGATAAATGAATCCTAAATAAGAAAACCTGCTTTAAATCGTCCTCAGGCTCACGGAGACCATCGGTGCTTAGTGGCAACAGGAGTAGTAAACGCTGTCGTTTTAGCCCCGACACAAAAGACAGAATAGATGCTTCGGTTCGATGATGTGAATCCAGACAACAGCCACGCACACGTCTTTAATTATGACTCATCTCTCTCTTTCTCAAGCTGTTTTTGCTCTTTCTTGCACCACTAGTTGATTCATGTGGCATTTTTTCCTCTTTCTTTTGTCTGTTTGAGCAAATGCAGTTGCCCTTATGAAAACGGGTCCCTTGCAAACATGCACAAATAAACAGAGATGCTTAAATAGATGCACAGCTGCCATCGTTGAACACTGTAGACGAGCGTGCATCATTTTCACAAAAGCAACCAGACCCTTTGTTATATAATATGTTTCTCACCAGAGGCTCATTTCTAATCTAAAACCTGCAGACTGCTGAAGCCCTCAGAGCGCAGCAGCTGGTCCAACACTTTCATCCGTGCAAGGCCGAGCTTCGAGAGGGTGGCAACGTTCGGTGGCACAACCCAGACTATCACTTTAAGACTGCTGGAGTCAGCACTAGTCGCTGTTGTTGGCTTGTAAATTTACAACATCAGCAATTTAGTTGCTATAATACACTATTGGATTGTATTGTTTTTACAGAACTGCAGTAATGATTGAAGCATTCAACTTCTAAAACGATATTAGTGCACGTTACACAAATCTGGAAGCGTTTCCTGCACAAACTGGAGTCACATCGAGGTGTTTCAGCTTAAAAGTGAACAAAATGATCACTTTTATTCAAAGGTTTTCCCGAATGGACAAAATAGGAGTAGACTTCCAGAATATCACAGAAAATGTATTAGCTTTTCCACATAGACATTTCGTCTGGAAATCTAAAATCTATTAAAAGTTAATCGTCACAGGATCCTCGTGGATCCCACAAGGCCATCATCTCTCACATTGAACATCTGCTGCACTCCTAGAAACAGACAGTTTCCAAGTATACTTATTTTAATTAACCTTTCAAAATATATGTAAGCGAGAAACTGTCGACACAGAAGTACAGAAAAAAGTACAGGAGAAACCTTGAAAATGAAACCGACTGTGCTCAGAAGTTTTCATGTTTCATACAGAATTTCTACAAAACCTGAGAGCACGTTTGTCGGTTTTAACGTTTGTAAAAATGTACGAGTCTCAAACAGCAGACTGAGGCCCTGTCCACACGTAGCCGGGGATCTGCCAAAACGTAGATATTTTTCTACGTTTTGGCCTGCCATCCACACGAAAACGGAGTTTTTTCACACAAAAACGGCTCTTTTTAAAAACTCCGGCCAAAGTGAAGATCTGCGTTTTCTCCGTTTTGGGTGTCTGCGTGTGGACAGACAAAACCGGAGTTTTAAGGTCCGCAACGTCACTTTCCGCGACAAAAAAATGCTGACATCACGTGTGTGACCTGTGTTTACACTAGCCGACAGCATGGATGCCCTCAGAGCTGCGCTCGCTTTATCAATCGTCCAAGCGCTTTCTGCTTGTTTGTTTTTGCAAGAGGAATTACTGCTCCTTGCGGAAGACCACAGACGAAGGACGAGGTTAAGAACGGGGGAAGTACTGCCGCCTACAGGTCTGGCATGTCCTTAACAACGTATTTATCCTGGTACGTGTGGACAGAGATTTTTTTTAAACGAGGTGGTGTGGATGCAAGTTTTTGGAGGGGCGGATATTCGTTTTTAAAAAAACCCGGCTACGTGTGGACTAGGCCTGAATATGGACCAGCTCTGGATGTCCATGACTGGATTCTGGAGGGAGACCAGGACCGCTTCCACCATTTAACAAATGAGACGGCGCTTAATAAAAGATTAAACACTGAGTGCATCAATAATTAATGTGTATTTCTTCCCTTTGTTTCAGACATGTCAGATGTTTGTTTAATGGCACGAAACATTTCCTTTTGTTATTGTTTTTTGATGCTTCCCTACCTATTCTTGAATCAAGCCCATCTTTTGTGCTCATGTAATAATTAGGATCTGACAAGCCAGCTCCTCTCACAACACCTTCTGAGTGTTTATCAACAACTCATTTATGCTTCATTAATGTGTGATCACACAAAGCTCGCTCCAGCCTCGGCGGTTGTCTGTAAAGTAGATTTATAAAGTCATTATTTAAAAGTCAGTCTTGCTCCGAAAGTCATCCTTGACTAGAAAAAAGGAGACTGTCGGCATAAACGAGAAAGTCAGGGAAATTGTGTTTTCTTCTGGCAGCTAACTGAGATAAAGCCAAAGTAAACTAAGGACATGTCCACTATTGATTGTCCTCTAAAGCCACTATCTGACTGCCCTTAACTGCTGGCGACTACTTGGAAAAGCATTTAGAAGCTCTGTGATGCTCTTTGATTCAAATAAAAAGTGGCAACAACACAAGAGGCCTACAGGAAAAAGAAGGGTGCTCTACAGAGTTTGTAATAAGGAAATAAAGAATAGGAGTTTGGCAACTCCATTGCAACCAAACTAGGTTTTCATCTGGGTCAACATTTGTGCACCCTCTTTAAAAGTACTGAACAATAGTTGCAATATTGTCTCCAATCAATCACAATTTAGCTTTGTCAACCCATCCCAAAGCCGTTTCCATTTCTTTTCTTCTTTCTGACTCAAAGATACCAAACTAGGGTTCTGGGTCCCTGCAACAAAAACTGCTCTTTTTTTTTTTATTTATTTATTTTTGCAGAAAATAGGTTTTTATCGAGCAGCATAAAAGTGAGGCTCTGCAAATCAACTAAAACTGAAAAGCGTCGACTTTAGAAGCACAGTTGCAGCCTTGTACTTTAACTGTTAAAAAAATGTTTGATTTGATTCAATTAAATCCAATTCAGTGTATTTATATAGCGCCAAATCGCAACAAGGAACTTCACAAAGTACACATTCCAACTGAGTTCAGTTCATTACATCAAATAGTTAAAATTTTCTTATGCAAGGAACCCAGCAGACTGTATCGAGTCACTGACTTGTCGTGTCTGAGACTTGCAGCAAACCCCACACTGAGCAACCATGTAGCGACAGTGGAGAGGAAAACTCCCCTTTAACAAGAAGAAACTCCAGCAGAACCTGGACCAGCATGAGCAAATTAAAAAAAATCAATTCAGGGTTGTTTATGTCAGAGTCCAAGCCCCCAGGCCGGGCTCTCCCAGCTGACCGGCTTCCGTCTTGGACCACATTACCCAGCATGCCCCTCGCGGGGATTCCCTCCACGTTCCACCTGCGTCAATCCATGTCTATATATGGAAGCCGCTACACCGGCTCTTCACTCAGTCATCGTTCCACCGTGATCCATGATCAGAGTATTCGAAAGCTACTACAGCTAAACCTACACCTTTCCTCCTCAGACCTCATCCGTCAGCCTTTCCAGCACCGCTTTCAGCCCACCGTCTGTATAATAAACGCTCTTACTCCCGAACCCAGTCTTCGAGTCTGACAGTTTAAATGGCTCAACTGTCCTTTTAAAGAGGCATTGCACGCCATCAGAAAATGTAACTTCACCCCTAGTCAAGATTTGAAAAATGCTGTGAAAGTGGGCGTTACCAGGAGGCACAGAGTGGCATGGCCAAGTGTGGGAAATTTCCATCCTGGGAGGGAGGGGGAGGGGGAGGAGACTGTACCAATGACGTGAAATTGTACCAGAACCAGTCAATCACAAGTTTAAAATGCAGTAGCCGCTGTTCTGCCACAGGGGGCAGCACCTAGAATCTAGATTTAATCAAGGGGTGTTTCTCAATGTCAAGGCGCCTGGCCTTGGGAGGCGATGTCTTGCGAGGTCAGGCGCCTTGCTTACGAGGACATTGTCCTTCCTTGGTCAAAGAAAACGGTTCAATGGATCAGACCTGCATCACGTGTCCGTGGATTCCACGGCGGTCACGTATCGTCACGTGACACGGGAGATAACGTTATATTGTATACATATTAGTTTCAATATAAAAATAAAACGAGCCTTTTACTTTTTAAATTGCGTATATGTTTATTAAATAAAAATATATAAGTGAGTTACTACCCGCTAGCCACCGAAGCTGCAACTACTAAGCAACTAACCAACCATAGTTAACTTCTTTGGTTCTAAAAAAAACATTTTAAATTAGTTGACTTACTTTTAAACTTGAAATTTGCCCCGAAGTAGCTGCCGGCTTCTGATCTGCCGTCCTTTTGAAAATACGGCGGTGTATTCTGGGTAATTTTTGACCAAGGCTAGTAAGTAAGTAAGTAAGTAAGTAAAAGTTTATTTATATAGCGCCTTTCGCAGATATTAAGCACAAAGCGCTGTACAACATGATAAAGATCAGGGCAAATACCTCTAACCAATAAAAACATCCAAAAAACAATAGCAGTGATAAACGTAGAAAATAAAATCATGAGTATAAACAAAGTGAAGGTGTGAACCCGAACAAAGCCATCTTTTTGAAACATTTAGGGAGGGAACGCCTGGATGAAAAGGTGAGTTTTTAGATGATTTTTAAAGACCTCTACAGTGTTAGAGAGACGGAGATTTGAAGGCTAGGCTAAAGACACCTCCCATGTATCCTCACTCAGCTAGCTAAACAGCTAACAAACGGAGAACACACGCCTCGGTAGAACATGAACATTGGAACACGTCTTGGCGGCTCCCGATGATGTATCTCCTAGGCAACCTGGGCGGGGCCAAAACATCAAGGAAAGGT